AAGTGTAATGATCTTTTTTAAATTTATTTTTGTTTTTTGAAACACTAGCCAATCAGTTCCTAACTTACTACAAATTTGAACGTAGCGAATGAAAGGTAACGTTTCTTGTTCGTTGTATATAGTGTATTTTGCACATACTAACAAAACATAAAGACGTGTCATCACTCACACGAGGATGCAAGTGCAGGTACTCAATACTTTTAATAAACGTAGCGAACAAAATAAAGACGTAATCCACGTAATGTGGTAGATAAACAGACACAGGTCAGGTGATGTACGAACAACATATACAGGGACAGGCAAGATCAAGAATACCCTCTGTGTTCTGTAGGTCTCTCGTGGATAGCCATACTCTGTCTCCTGACTCAAAACTGGGCATCTCTCCATGCCTCTTATCTGCAAACTTTTGTTCGTTTGAGCCGTCTGCTCCAGGCGTTGGTGGGTTTGTTCCCACATGTGTTCACTCTGCCGGAACCAGCTGTCAACAGCGGGGGAGTCCATGGGGTTAGCGTTCCATGTTAACAGAGGTGGCTGGTACACCAGGATGCATTGAAAAGGAGTGAGGTTAGTAGCAGAGCGCTTAAGTGAGTTCTGGTTGTATTCGGCCCATGGGAGGAATCGTGCCCAGTCCTCTTGATTGTAGACACTCTCTCTACCTGACCATTGGTTTGAGGGTGGTAGCCTGATGTCAAGCTCACCGAGACACCCAACTTCTCCATAAAGCTCTTCCATACCCGGGATGTGAACTGGACACCCTGGTCACTCACTATAGCCTCAGGTAAGCCATAGTACTGGAATACTTGCTCGAACACCACTTCGGCTGTTTCAAAGGCTGATGGCAGGGGGAATAAGCCGTAGAGCTTTGGAGAACCGATCCACCACTACCATGATGACTGTGTTGTTTTGGGAAAAGGGGAGATCGGTGAGGAAATCGATGGCAATGCGTGTTTTAACTCAAAGTTAAACTTTTAAACTGTGAGTGTGCTTTGGATGTGATTGAGTCCAGGTGTGTGTGATTAGTAATCGGTTGAGTGTGAACGTGAGAGAGAATGGGTGTTGCAGTCCTCGGCAGCATTTCTGCAGGCCGCGCTGTGTACTGGGAAGTGTAGTTGGACGCCGTTTCTGGTTTCAGCATGACAAGACGTTTATAAGACATCTCTGATGACTTAAACTTTTTAATGTTTCATTCAAAGATGTAGAGAATCAACTGTCATCATCCAGTGAAAGGTTTTTGAACACCCTGTATTAACATTTGTTAATACATTTTTTTTAAACTTCAAGAAATGGTTTCAAGTTAAATCCTCTAGAATTAGAAAATCTACATAAGAAGTAAGTATAAGTGAAGTGAGAAATGTTTGTGACTTATTATTTTATTGGAAAAAAAAACTGGACGTAACTGGAAAAAGCTGATCTTGATCTCTATAACTAAACACTCATATTACACAAAATACAGTACATTTGTCTTACAGTTGATATAAACACTGTCTAATATCAACTAAGAGAAATTAGACATATAATCATTTATAGTCTTAAAGTAATTGCTTCTCCAAACAAGTGCACTCGCCTTTAATAAAGCTCTCATTTGCAATCTGAGAGTCATTAAATGCAAAGATTTCAGTAATTGATGGAATCCAATAGTGAGTAAATTGTAAGAAAGTGTGAAATAAAAATTCCCTATGTTCAAAAATGCTTGACTGGCAGTGTATACAAGACAAGATGTTTGTTATACACCAAAAAAGATGGACATTTAGGGCCAACCAGGACCCATAAAAGTATATGATTGAAGTTGTCACTCAAAGCTTAACTTAAATTAACTTAAATAGTTCTTCACTAAATTGAACATAGTGGCAATTTACTTTCTCACCAACTATGAACTTAAGTGCTGCAGCTCTGTATAGAGCAGCTCACTAGAACTTGAACTTTTCATAACAGTCAAATGATCTAGTGTGACTTTAGGAGTACGTTAAAGTCTCTATGTCTAAAATGTCTCTATGTAAATGTCTCTTAAGGTTTCTATGTAAAGGACATTCAAACTCAAATTCCCAGGAACCACCGTCATTGCTCTTACTCTGACATCTGCGGAAACTGAGCAGTTTCCTAATATACCCTACTGTTCCTGCATTCCTTTCAAGGGAATTCTAGCATATCGGCATATCTCATTCAATGAACTAAACTAAAAAAAGTTCAGGGCCAGGAAGAGATACGAAAAGATTACTACCCTTCCCAAACATCCAAAAAAAATTCCCCTCGGGAATGAAACAAAAACACGACACACCACATGAACAGTTTATTCCTAACAGCTGTGTCTTTTCTCAGCAAGCCATCAAGACTACCTGGAAGAGGTAATAAATAGCAATCAATATGCTCCTGTTGTCTTCTTCATCACTAAACTTCTAACACTTCCACTGCACTTTATACTCTATTCTTTATTTACAAGTGAAAAGTATTTACACTTGTACATTTTTACTTTAGGATTAGGATTTTTACTGAAATGAATACTTGTACTCAATGAAATTTCCATGATAAAGAACATATTTTTGCTTCATATATTTTCACTCAGACCTTCAAAATACTTCTTATAAATCACAAAATCCTCAACTCAAATACTTTTGCCAATTTACCAAATCCAATCAAGTTCTTGTGCATGTATTTTATTTACGTTTATTTAGTTAGAAATAAAACACGATTGCTGTGACAAATTGCTGTGGTATAAAAGGAAAAAAACACTTTGGGGTGTGCTGTTATAGGAGATTCATCAATGTGGCCCCTCACAAAGTGTGAGAAGTTGATTATTTTCCTAAAACAGCATGTCCTGAATTGTTTGATTCCTCTTACACCTCAGCAATTTACCAACAATATCAGTTTTTAATGAATTAAATAACACCACATTGTACTTGTTATCCATTTATAGTTACATTTATTGCTGTGGAACGTCCACGAAACAAGTTAGTTCCTATTATCACTTATGATATAGCAGCTTATAAACAGTTGTTCCCTCACCCTTTTTTCTCCTACCCTGAAGGTAACAAGACAAAAAATGCAGCTTATCAAAGAGCTGACACTGGACACTCCTTCCAAAAATGTTAAACATCTCTTCTCAGAAAACTTCACCATATGTACCCTTACACACATTTTAAATCCATTTTTGCAGAACGTTTGGCATACAAGCCCCTGGGTAAGTTCTTGCTATAGAAACGATAATTCTATAGTAACATTAATATAAACCTGTGACCTGCCTATCCATGCAACTTCTGACCAATCAGAATCGAGAATTCGATAGGGCTGTGGTATAAATATATTTAAAGGGTCAATTTGTCTCAGCATCAAACAACACAACACCTCCGAATGGTTCATTTTAATACCAATGTCTGACTAGTGATTAAATATGAAATTATTTACCAGTCATGTACTTTTTTCATTTTTATATGATACTGATATGCAAGCTTTGAGTATCGGCTGAAACCTGTTACCCGATACCCATCACAGATACTGACAACCCCTGACTCTCTGCCAGCGTTTGTTGGTGAATTATGTGAAACATGAGAGGCATGAGAAGTTGTCTCTTCAAGTGTTGTCTCAGTTCAAGGTATGCATTATGACAAAAACCTCATATCATGACACCTAACAAACTATGCCTGTATAATAGTAGCAGTGCATTGTTAAAAAAAAATCTGTGAGAAATTCAGTTCAAAGTTGCTTTTTCTTAATGTTCACAAAATTTAATTACTTAACACTGAAAAGGAGGGAAACTAAAAATTCTGTAGGAAAAAAAAAACATTTTACAACTGTAAAACTGAGTAAAACACAGCTGAATTGAACTGTTATTATGAAAAGATGCAATTTATCATGATTTATCATCATGATATCGATATCATTTTACTCAGCCCTAGTGTCAATAAACCAAAAACACACTCATGGAAAGGAAAATATGACAAACCCAGTCACAAGCCAGTATCAGGTTCAGCATTGATACTCAGTATTAGTATTAATTTTTTTTTTTTACTTTTAAACACTCGAGTATATGTAATGTGGACATTTTGAGCTTTTGCTGTAAAGCATAAATAAAAAATTTTAAAAAGCTGAAAGTATATTCTTTCTATTTTTCCCCTGGATATGCTTGATATTCCATTCACATCTGTATACTTTCTTTAGTAGATATTATATTTTAATTAATTTTAAAAGTAATGTCCAATATTTGTCAATAGAGAATAAGAATTTCAATGTACAGTTTTCCTTTCACTTTAAATTTGACTTTGACTTCCTTTTTTTTTTTTTTTATAAACCTGATTTGTAGTTAAGCAATCCTTTTCAGATTACCAGCATCTGAGTCTACCTGTTTGTCAGCATCGTTGTAATGATCACTGAGTGTGCTGTGGGTGCTGTGTAGAGTGATGCAGCAGGTCACATTGTGACATCACAAGCCCTTTTCAATCCTGACCTCATATTACTGTGTTATTTAGTAACATACACAACCCTGACCAGGATATAGTGGTTACTGAGGATGAGTTAATGAATGAGTGTGCTGACTCTAAACATCATGGCAAACTGAAATAAAAAGTACCTGAAAACTCCATGCGAGGGAGTTACACCTTCAGAGAAGGGAAAGAAGTAGCAGCAATGGCATGGAGAAAAATCCATAATTCATTCATTCACATTCACAGAAATGTTCATAATAACTTGTTGAATGAATCCGACACTTTGACAGTCTATTTCTCATTCTTGGTAAAACACTTGTCACGTGCAAGGCTTTTGTGTTTTTAGTTAGAGGAATATCATTTAAGGCAACATTACAATTCTAGTCATTCAACACATAAGCATGTATTTGAGATGCTTAGAGTAAGCACGCTCATTCATTCACGCATCATCAGTAACTGCTTTGTCCTGGTCAGGGTTGTGTATGGATCCAGAGCCTATCCTGGGAACAATGGGAGGAAACTGGAGAGCCCGGAGGAAACCCACATAAAACTTTTTTTTGTTACTGAATATCACAGTAATCTGGGTCCCTAGAGGACTAGTGGTTAAGCCTCAGCGCTCTCACTGCCGCGTCCCGGGTTCGAGTCACAGCCAAGGAACCAAACCCAGAACACGATAGTGCACTCCCAGTGCTGATCCCAAACCTGGATAAAATTTTCATCTGGCGCAAAAACTGGGCCAAACCAAATATTCGAGCAGCCGCAAGAAGAAGAACAACAACAAATAAAGCAGTAATCGAAGTTCAGGATTGAACAGGGACTTGTGATGTGATGTGTATACTGCATATACACAGCATCCCTAGCACAATGCATCTCTGATCATTAAAACAATGCTGATAGCCAGGTAGACTCAAGATGCTGCTAATCTGAAAAGGACTGTTTAACTACAAACCAGTTTTTATGAAAATCAGAATTCAAAATCAAATTTTAAGTCAAAGTTGAAGTCTGTTCTTTGGAAAATTGTTTACTGCCAAATACTGGACATATATTCATTAAAATATAATATCTACTCAACAAAGTATACAAATGTAAATGCAATATCAAGCAGATCCAGGAGAAAATAAATAAACTTTCAGAATATACTTTCTTTTATTTATGCATTACAGCAAAAGCTTGAAATGTCCACTTTCCATATTCTCAGGTGTTTAGAAGGAAAATCAGTCCACTGCTGGACCTGAGACTGCCTTGTTTTTGTAGGATTTCTTACTTAACAAAGTTATTGTTTTCTTTTTTTTATATCAAATAAAGTGCGACTTTCACTTTAAACCTTCCACAGAGCTGCACACTGACCTTTTCTGCAGAGAAAGTAAACAAGCTACAGCAGGCACCTTTCAAGTAAACAGTGCTTATTACCATACAAGTGTAAGATTATTAGTAGTAGTATTTTATTCTTTAAAACCCTGAATGTCATAAACGCACGTCTTACCTTCAGATGGTGGACGACAGACTGAAATCTAGCTCAGCTGAAGATCCATTGCGCGAAATGGAAACAGAAAGTTGAGTCATGGAGATTAGTCTCTTCCTCTTTTAGGTTAACCATTCAAGGTAGTGTATAAAAATAATCAGCAGTGTGAACAAAAGTCTGTCACCTCCAGCAGACAGAGCAATAATTAAGAGTGTTACACTAACATCAGTTTCAGAATGAATTCTTTACAGATTTATAAACACCTGAATGACATGAAAAAAAAATTCTTCTAATCCTCTGTATCAGGGTTGCCAGGTCCGTCTGAACCACATACGGGAAATTCCCATTTTTAAAAAAGAGAAGTGTAGTATTTACAGTGACATCATACCATAGTTTCATATGATCAGTATTTTTAAAAAAAAAAGGAATAAAGCTTTCCATCAGTGCCCTTTCCACTACTGGAGAGTCTTCGGTTCAATCATTTTCATCTTCAGTTCAATCATTTCATGATTCAATTTAATTCAATTCAATTTTATTTGTATAGCTTTTAACAATGGACATGGTCACAAAGCAGCTTTACAGAAATATATAAATTCAGGATATAAATTTTAAAGTTATTAATGTAGCCCTAATGAGCAAGCCAGAGGCGACGGTGGCAAGAAAAAACCCCCTGAGACGATATGAGGAGGAACTTTAAGAGGAACCAGACTGAAAAGGGAACCCATCCTCATCTGGGTGACACCAGACAGGGTGATTATAAATAATTCCCTTCTGTAACTGTATACTCTAGAGTCAAAAAGTGCAATTGCATAAGCAGGAACTAATCTGGAAACTTTTATTTCCGACTTGTTTAAATATAGCTATGCTATGATGTTACTCTGGAAATAATACTGTACCTTTTTTTTTTCTTGAACTTTAATAACAGCTCACAGGAATTGGGCCAGATTTGCTTTTGTGTTTTTCAGATGGACCGGGCAACCTTGGAGATAGGTTCCTTCATCAGGTCCTGAAAATGTGCTGTGTTACAGATAAAGAATAACTCTGTGAATAAATAGAAGAATTCACTGAGCAGTTTAGGGTTCAGGGCATTTGAATATATGTAGATCATTTCTGATCAAATGGGACTTTCTGTTAAAACGCTCAGCTGTTAGAAAATACTAGTCAGCATCTAGGGAAGATAAATTCTCCCCAGAGTATTAGCCAATAACGGACATGTTTAATACTTCATTCACAGTTTACCAATTAATTAATAAATACCTTTATACAGGATGTAAAGACACTGTCCAAGAGAATATCCAACAGAATATACAAGGAATAAAACAAGACAGGGTGAGCTGTAATAGGAAAATAATCAACAGCAGGGTGGTGTGATGGAGCCCGAAGTGAACGGATTATTTCCCTATAACAGCATCCAAGAGTGTTTTATTGCTCTTACACCACAGCAATTTGTCAACACTTATATTTTAAGCTTTATTAAAGAGTGATACATTGCACTTTTAACCATTTATAGTTACATTTCATGTTGTGGAACATCAGCGGAACAATTTAGTTCCTATTATCGCTTATGTTATAGCACCGACTGTATAAACATCCTCTCTTTTTCTCTCTCTTGAAATTAATAAGACACAAAAAAAAAAAAACAGCTTATCATGTTACCAAGAAACCCAGAAACTCCTCTGTCCTAAAGATTCCCTTGGGATGAAAATCTACTACTGTTACAAAGCTCTAACACTGGAGACTCCTTCCATAAATGCTAAATAAATCTCTCCACACAGAAAACGTCAGCATATCAACGATTAGCAACGCATCTTTGTGAAAATGCAACACAGATCAGTTTATTATTATGATTAGGCTTGGATTATGTGGCTCGTCTATCCCAAGAGTCCCCATGAATGAGCTGTTACTATAGAAACGATAACGAATTAGAACGAGTGCATTATTATAAACCTGTAATCTGAACTACGGCTCTAACTGCAGTCAGAGCTGCTGTTATAGAAAATTAATCAACAACTTCTAACCAATCAGAATCGAGAATTCTGAAGCACTGTGGTATAAATAGGTATAAATAATCAAATGTATGAAAAATACCCCAAAAATACCCCAACTCCAACCTGTGGAACAAATCAAATCCAAATAAAGAACATATTTAAAAAATTAAAATTAAAAAAAAAAGGAATGTGTGTGTGCAGTCAGTTCCCGGTTTCTCAGTTGACAAACTGGTTAACTGAATTACTGAACAGGAAAAGGAACCTTAATCCAAGCATTTCCTCCATGTTGGATCACGTTACACACAACAATGACACTTCAGTCGTCTTTAAATTTGATGGAAAAAAGAAACCTTAACTTCTCCTTTTAAACGTGCAGTGGAAAAGCATCCACTGTGATAATATTATAAACTGTGATAAAATCACTGTGGTGTGAAAATATAACATCATTCCCATACAGCACGCTAATCAAACGAGGCCACTCGCTACAACTGTAGGATGTTTTCCTTGTCTTGTTGACGATGTTTACTCTTTTTACCGAAATCGATATGATCATGATGACTAGCATACTGTAATTCTTTGATGTGGAAACCTGTCATTCTGAGAATACAGTCATGTGAAAAAGAAAGTACACCTGCCTTCAATTCTCTGTTTTTATTTACCAGGACCTAATGCATGGTCCTCACTAACTTCTATAAAGAAATAAATAACCACAGGTGACAACTACAACACCACCAAAAAACAGAACAACAGAACAGAGATCAAGATTTCCACCATCATTCAGAAACCAGGTGGGAAAAATTAAGTACACCCTTCCTACTTCCACGGTCATTAAGAGAGCAATTAGCAGCCAGATGTTACTGCTGAAGTGATGTTGTAAAGAAGAGCGGGCCAAAATTTCTCCAGAACAATGTGAGAGACTGAAACTCCTACAGAAAACATTTACTTCAAGTTACTGTTATTGTTAAAGGTGGTTCCACATGTTTTATAGGGTGGACTTCTTTTTTTTCCCAACTTGTTCCTGAATGTTGGCTTACTTCATTGACTACACATTGATGTCTGTTGTTTTTTTGTTGTCACATGAGCTCATTTGTTTGTTTATAGAGGTTAACGAGGACCACGCAATTGTTATTTATATAAAAACACAGAATTGAAGGAGGGTGTACTTTCTTTTTCCCATGACTCTATGTATTGACCTTGTTGTGTGAAGAAGTGCTAAGAAGACATCCTGCTATCTTGTTTGGTCTACACTCCTGGGCAAAAAAAAAAAAATAATAATAATAATTAAAAAAAATAGACCAAGCTGAAAAAAAAGGTAAAATATTAAAATTTTAATGGTCTTAAACAACAGATCATAAGTCAGGAAATTAGCAAGAATTAAACAAATAGATAAAGGAAGTTAGTATGTTCTGATAACTAAATAATGACTAATCTTTTAAGAAAAAAAAAATCCCAGAAGATATCTTTGGAAAATTTTGCACAGCCAGACATGTGCTAGTTTTAATTTTACATAAAACATTTTCCGTTTCTAGCTTTTCCCCAAACAGTTCAAAAAGTAAATGAGCAAATGGCGGCACAGGATCTCTCCGGAGTGTTTAAATTTGTTTAATTCTTGCTCGTTTTCTGACCAATGATTTGTTGTTAAGACCATTAAACGCTTCATATTTGCCATTTTGTGCTTGGCCCATATTTTTTGCTCAGGAGTGTATCTTATTATCCAAATTCTATTATCTAAGCTATGCTTGGGAATCGGTTTTCCCGACACAAGGGGGTGCTAACACATGGACTTGTACCAGAAGATGTTTGTATTTAAGCTGTGTATTTTTAGAGACACGTCAGATCAGACCAAATTCCATACACATTCCGGAGACCATCGAGGATCAGATCATTATTACACATCGCTGTTTATTTCACACACTTTGTGCACACTTTATACATCTCCTATACTTCTTCACCCTGGCTGTTTGCTGGTCTCCTGGTTCCTGATTCTGACTTCTGAAAGATTTACAACACAACAATGGCAGAACTTGTTTATTTCTCATTCGGCAGAAACATCACTACAGCATGTCGGGTCATACGATGACACAAACAGAGAGGAATATTACGGGTGGCTGATCAACCTGCAGTGAACGTAAGAGTCTGGTGGTTAAGTGTCTCTTCTGGGCTTCAGGTGTCTTGTGCAGGTGAGTCTGCGCTCTGCGCTCAGTGCT